GAGCAGTGAAAGAAAAGAGGGAAGGCAGCTAGTCGTCACCACCCACCGCCAACTCTTAAGCTACTCTTTTACCAACGAATAGTGGGATTGACCGTCACATTATAACGCGCCCATGGTTGAAAGGGCGAGCATGTTTGGTGTGATGGGAATTTGAAGCCACGACCCGCAGATTTCGAGTAGAGTGCCCTAAGCACCTGGCCATGCCAGGTCCTGCAGATTGTAACATACAGTTATTTATACTAACAGCCTCACTCCTCTAATGTATTCACATTTGCATGGTATACTTTACAATGCCATTTTGACCCTATATAAGTACGACGGGCAAGTAACCACAACTAGAGAAAATGAGTAAACAACTAATCAGATTACAATCGTGACGTAGTTAACTTGAGCTTGCCTTGAAATATTTTTATTTAATTTTTTACCTTTACTTTTTGTTATTTCAAATAATAGTTTCTAATTTTTACATTTTAGTTACTTTTGCTAAAAATTTATTACAATAAATAATGTACACATAAAAAACAAGAAATTCTGGACTTCCATTACAGTTTAAGTTGTAATCAAGAGTATAATTCCTTAGCACTATTTTTTCATACTATGTTGGTTTGCACAAAACATTTAATTTTCCATTCAAATATACATTTTAGAATTCCCAAAAAATAAACAAGTATGAGAATAAAATGTCTCAAAACTACTATAAATTAATTAGCTTTCTAAATAAGCTATAAGTAGATTAACAAATTCCATTAGCTTCTAAGAGCAGAAAATCATGATTACATACAATACAACTGAGGCGAAATATCTGCTTACGAGCAACAAAATGAAATAATCATATCAGCAATCTACTGAAAAGCTGTCCCTTTTATTGGTTATAAATAATTCAAAAGCCATGTTAGAGAACATTATTGAAATTGTTTGAAAGAGAGAGTTATATAGGAGGGACATGCATGTGGGCTTGACATTTTGTTTATATCTCAGTAAAGCAAGATTGGTAGATTCTAAATATATATTCTAGTTTTTCAATATCTATAATATATATTTTTAATTAATTGAACATTCAGAAATTTATATAAGGGTAGGATGATAATCTAAAATATGTAATTCTGAGCACAAAAGCATCATGTGACACAGGAAAATGAAAATT